CGTGGGCAGAGGGAACCGCGGAGGACGCCACATGAGACCCCAGAGGACAAGCGCACGGGGACGCCAAGACGGGGATCCTCACCCACGACGTCACCAGGTGCTGGGAGCCCCAACAGGCCTCTGCCCACCCACCCCACGTGACCGCCAAGCAGAGAAGAGCCCGAGGCTGTGTGCCTCCGAGAACCCAGTGCCGGCGGGCACAGGGCGGGCACAGTGTGGGCAGTGTGCGCAGAAATGCCGAGCCACAGGCCAGCCTGGCTGGGCAGCAGAAGAGGCCCCGCTCTGTCCCACACGGCGCAGTGCGCCCTGCACCCACACAGCTGTCTCTCAACCACGGGGGCCAAGAGCAGCCGGGGGCCAGGGCACCTCATCAGCTCAACCCTCCGCCCCCGCCTGGAGCCCACAGACCAGTCCAGACAGAGAAGCCTGTGGCAGCGTCCCACCCGGCAAGCTGGCGCGCACACCTGTGAGGTGGACATGCGGGAGGCGTCTTGCCGGCCCGTAAGGTCCGACGAGGAGATGTTGACGGGGGCGCCACGGTGCAGCCGCAGACTCACTTTCCGCTCCCTTTCCACGCCGGACACGGGCCGAGGAGAGGTGTTAGCTGAAGGGAGAGGTGGGAGTGAGGCTCCCTCAGCTCCACCCAGAGCTTATCTTCAGCACGACCCGGAGCAGGCCACCCTGCACCCGCCCGGCTAACGGAGCCACAGGGAGGCGCCCCAGCCAACACTGCGCCTCTCGCTGCCCAGCAGTTTGCCCCAAGGCCTGCGGCAGGACCCTCGAGGGGGACACCAGTGCGGGTGTTCCATGGGCAGGCTACCCAGGGCTCTGCTGGGATGCTGTCAGGGAGGAGGAGGAAGTGGGGATGGAGACTGGTGGGGGGATGTGTGTGCCAAGAATGAGAAACTGCTCCCTGGCCTGTCCACCCTCGGGAGCTGGAGGAGGGCCACACAGGCACCCCCAGGAGGCACAGCTCCCAGCCCAGACCCTGCTCAGAGCTGGCTCCCCCCGAGGTCACCCCTAACAGAAACCCCTGCCTGCTGGGGTGGGATGGGTGGGCACGTGGTTCAAGCTGGGGCCCAGGGCACTCACCAGTGTGTGAGGTAGGGGTGAGGGGGGTGGGGGCAGCCACTTCTTGTGTTCCCCGCAGCCGGCCCGAGGCTGTGGAAGGCAGCCCCCGCGTGGCTGGATTCCGGGAGTGTCTCAATCGCTCCTCGCGGTCCCGGCGTTCCCGCTCGGCATCGTCAGCGGCCCGGCTGGCACCCTGGGCAGTGAGAGAAGGAGACAGAACTGAGCAGCCTGCAAGGCATCCCAACTCGAGAGACACCAGGGGCGTGTGAGCAAGGCGAAGCCAGCGAGATGCTTCTCCAGCCCGTCCCGAGTGGGGAGCGAACAGCTAGGCCTCCTCCGACTTCCCACCACGGCTACAGCACTTCGGGGAGGGGGGGAAGTGTGTGTGTGTGTGTGTGTGTGTGTGTGTGTGTTTGAGGTGGGAGGGAGAGACCTCTTCTCGGGCCACATTCACAGGAACAGGAAATTGCCTGAGGATGGATGGCGGGAGTCTGAGAAGCAGGCATGAGCAGCAGTCCTCTCGGTCCAGACCTCGAGCCCAGGGCAAAGGTGATGCTGGGGCTCTCATCCCGAGGGCAGAGGCCAGGCCTGTCCTGGGGGGGCCACGTGGTAGACTTGGGCACAGGCAGCCACTTCCACTCTCAGTCAGTTCCAAGCCACTGCACGGGCACGCATGTCCCATGGTACAGCTAGGCTACCGCACACGGAAGCTTACACTCGGTTCCCAGCCCTGACAGCGAGAGAGTCTGCAAACTTTGGCCTTGGGACCAAGCCCAGACCCATCTGTTTCTGCACACGTTCCGCCCACAGGCTCTCCCGGTACAACCAAGTGGGGTGACTGCAGCACCGCTCTGACTGCAAAGCCCAAAAGAGGTGCTACGTGGCCTTTAACAGAAAAGGCCGGCTGAGCTGAGACCCGTTTGGCTCAATGGATAGAGCGTCGGCTTGGGGACTGAAGGGTCCCGGGTTCGATTCCGGTCAAGGGCATGTACCTTGGTTGCGGGCATATCCCCAGTAGGGGGTGTGCAAGAGGCAGCTGATCGATGACTCTCTCTCATCGATGTTTCTGACTCTGTATCTCTCCCCCTTCCTCTCTGTACAAAATCAATAAAATATATTAAAAAAAGAAAAAAAAGAAAAAAGGCCGGCCGAGCCTGCTGAGGACGGTTCAGAACGGAGGCTGCGAGGGGCTCTGACTGGCGGCCCCTTTTCCCACCACCTGGCTCTCCATGGACACACAGGCCAGGTCTGTGTCAGGCAGGCTCTGTGGTGGGCCCTCCCCGTGGAGGTGGCAGCCTCATGCCGGCTGGCACGACCTGCCCGCGCAGGGAAAGCTTCCAGTTCTGCACCGGGAGGCTCAGACCCTTAGACCGACTGTCACCAGGAAAGGCTCCAATTCCTGTTTGAAGCTCATGACTAAGAGAACGAGCTTCCGAGGAAAGCAAGTTCTAAAACAGCTGGAATCCTGGCTGTGATGTCCGCAGATTAATTAACAAACTCACCCACTTGTATGGGAACAAGTTAAAGTTCAAGCTCTGCCCCCACCCCCTGCAGCATTCATGCAGGCAATTGAACAAACGTGTAACAAACACGAGTCTAGCTTATTGCAGGGCCAAGGTCGGGCTCAGCACCCAGCACCTTCCAAGGCCACACCCTGTGCAGAAGCCTGTCTCAGCCACTCCTCCTGCGTAAGGAACAAGTGGGCACCACACTGCAACACCCCAGGGGTCAGAACCACACCCCTAAGAGCTGTGGTAACCACAACAAAAGGAGCGTTCAACGAGAGACGACACGGTGTTGAGAGGGCTGGCTCTGGACACACTCGCACGGGTGGACACCCCCACCTGCATGCCTGCCTGTGCCTCCCGATGGGCTCTTGGCTTCCTGGGCCTCTCCTGTCAGGCACCTCTCCCGGCAGGAACACCAGCTCCATGCAGCATACGTGCTCCGAGCCTGACTCAGGCAGCTCGCCTCACACACGTGTGAGCCTCACACATACGTGAGCATACAGCCGCAGCCTTGGCTGGTGGGATGCTTCTCGTCCACACAAAAGGCCAGCAAGCTCGTGATGCCACTTACAAACTTGAGCATGTTCCAGTCAAACACGTAGTCGTAGGAGAAGCCCTGGCGATGGAATAGGTTCCGGAAGAGCTGTCTCAGGTACGAGTAGTCAGGCTTGTCATCAAAACGCAACGAACGGCAGAAATTCAGGTACGTGGCAAACTCGGCTGTAAAACAAGAAACTCAGAGCTAACCAGAAGCACCGGCAACAGGTACCCCCTCCTCATGTAGGGGCGGGACAGAGCCTGACCACCGCCACATGGTGCAGGATGGAGGGCTGCGAGAGTGAGACAATGCACGCTGCCCGGGCCGCAGTGGGGCAGCTGGCTGGGCGTCACTCATGCAACACAAGGCTGCCGTTCGATCCTTGTCAGGGCACATGCCCGGCTGCAGGCTTGATCCCTGGTAGGGGGTGTGTAGGAGGCAGCCGATCAGTATTTCTCTCTCTCTGAAAACCAGTAAAAAATCTCTAAAAGAGAATGTGGCCGTACTGAACAGTTCGGCTTCACTGGGCCTGTCCCCGAGGCAGCTCCACGCAGCAAAGGAAAACACCCTGAGCTGTGGCTCCAGATATCCGGAGACCCAGCCCCCCGCCAGGCAAGGGGCTTGCCTGGGTCGCCCTCCCCGAGGCCCTGGCCCGCACAGGCCCCAGGCAACTCACAGGGGTAGCCTTTGCACAGCATTTCGATGGGCGTGGACATCTTCTTCTCACTGATGCGTTCGTATTTCTGCCTCTTGGTGGCAGCCTTCAGCCCCTGCCAGGGCAGAGAGCCCAGGTTGAAGTACATGAGCACGTAGCCCAGCGATTCCAGGTCGTCCCTTCGCGATTGTTCTGGGAAGAGGAGGAAACGGGTAAAACTTGGCTCATGGCAGCAGCAGCAAGCACACACTTACTTTGGAAACGAACTCTAAAAACCACAAAAAAATACACTTGGATTCTTTGCTGAAGAATCTGCCCCAGATGTGCTACTAGAGACTGTGACTCCCAGAGGAGCCACACCCACGTCCCAGCTGCCAGGGAACCCCCCCGCCTACCTGTCCACCCGCCCACCGCCCCCGCCTACCTGCCCACCCGCCCACCCGCCACACCTCACAGTCCCAGCGCTCCGGCCCTGAAGCCCGCCTGCCACCCGGTGCTGACTCCCAGGTCCCAGGGCTCACCGATCCCCAGGTGCGTGTTGATGGAGGCGTACCGCGCCGTCCCGGTGAGGTTCTTATTCTCGCGGTAGGGGATGTGCTGGTGGGTGCGGGCGTCCCGGTACTTCTTGGCCAGGCCGAAGTCGATGATGTAGACCAGGTTGCCCTTCTTCCCCAGACCCATGAGAAAGTTGTCCGGCTTCACGTCTCGGTGGATGAAGTTCTTGGAGTGAATGTACTCGATCCGACTGATCTGCAGGATTGCGGCAGCGGGTCAGCTGACAGTGCCTGGAGGCAGCTCCGCCCAGCAGCCAGGACCTGCTGGAGCTGCGTGTGGGCACCCTCGGCCGGGGCAGCGCTCCATAGTTGGGACAGGACACAACCCACCGCCCTCACCCCACCCACCCCCACCCGGGAGCTCCCTGTGGTGGGCTCTCCTGGGGGACCGACAGCGGCTGCAGCAGCCATCCCTCTGTGGTCCCATTAGCCGGGAGGTAGGCCCCACACGTGGGTGTGCTGTGCCCACGGTAGCTCCCCAAACCCAGCCACCATGTCACTGCCTGGGGGCAAAGGTTAATGAACATCTCCTTCCTCCCCGTGCACAGGCAGCGGGCGGGGCCCTGAGGCAGCGCTCACCATCTGGTCGGCCAGCAGCAGGACAGTCTTGAGGCTGAACTTCCTCGAGCAGAAGTTGAAGAGGTCTTCCAGGCTGGGCCCCAGCAGCTCCATCACCATGACGTTGTAGTCCCCCTCGGCCCCGCACCACCGGATGGTGGGGATGCCCACTGGAAGGGACACAGTGTCAGTGCAGCCAGAGTGGGGCTCTCTGACCAGGGTCAGGCGGGCAGCAGTCACGGGACTCAAGGCAAGAACGTGATGCCCACGCGGTGAGTGAGGACAGAGGACGAGGGGCAGGGAAGAGGGGTGTGGGCCGAAGCAGCGTCCAGGGACCCGGCGAGCAGCATCCTCAGTGAGGCCGATCACGGGGGAGACCCTCAGGGACTCCCATCGGACTCTCAGAGAGGACACTGCAGCGTGCAGGGTGGGAAACACATGGGTGGGGTCACAGCAGGCCCGGACCTGTGGCCCTGAAGGCATGTGACACGTAGGGACAACTGCAAGGCACCTCATTTCTGTGACCAGAGCCCCCAGGAGAGGAAAGAGAAAGATAGGGACCGACACCCCGCGGGAAGAAATACAAACGACGGCATTTAACCCACCGGCCCCAGGACAAGAGTCACAGAGACCATCACACTGCCATCCCACAAGCAGTGCTCACAGAATAGCCCTAAGGAAGAGAGCCCACACAGAAAGGAGCGAAGAGGCAGGGACTGCGGCGTCTCCTCAGAACACAGGAGGCCTGGCATCCCAGAGGCACCGGCTGCGGAGGCCTCCAGTAGACAAAACCGACGTTTCCAGCCACCGCAGACCAGAGGCAGGCGATGCCCCAGGAACGCAGAAACAGCAAGTTCCTCCCAGGCCTGCGGCTGGCCGAGGAGGTGGGCGACCCGGATCCAGCCTGACTGACTACACGAGAATAAGTCCCCACGGCCGCTCCCTCACAAGGAACGATGCTATTGGAGGACCTGCCACAGCCGGGGAGCAATTCCTGCTCTTGTATGGAATTCCCGGATTCCACACAAGAGCAGGCACCCTCTCTGCACAGAACACACATTAGTGTCACACGCAGCAGCCGACGGAAAGGACTACCGGTCGTTTCTTAGTGACCAAGGCACCCATTCATCAACAACAGCCTCTAAGCCTCTGCCGCTGACAGCAGGGCTTCGCGAGCCAGGAGCAAAGAGACAGGAGACAAGCCCTCTGGCTGAGCTCAGTCCGTCTCCACAGCAGGACCCTCCAGTGCGCCCCACAGACAGGCCTTGCTCGAGGTCAAGGGCTTGGCTGTGTGCAGGGTGCTCTGACAACAGCACCCCCGTTGGGAACAGAGTGGAGAGCTTTGGATGCTCCCCAGACACTTCAATGGAACTGGTGCCTGCCTGCCCCTCAGGCTGTGGGGGCGCCTCCACACAGGACAGCGGCACCCTCACCCGGAAGCCACCCAATCGGGTTCTCCCAGGGCTTTCCAGCTGCTATCCCACCTCGGAGCTTGGGGAGTCTCGTCCTTTGCCAGCACAGTGAAATGACGGTTGCCAGCTGGTTTGCCGGCGAAAGGCGGACATCACAGACACTGCACGGCCCGGTCACCTAGTGTCAAGCCCGAGTGGCAACAGTGATGATGACAGCTCTCAGCCTCTCAGGCGAGGACAAGATGTCAGAGGCAGAGACAACACTTCCTGCTGGGATGCAAAGTAAATGCTGCTTGCACACGTCACCACAGTCAACAGCCCGGACCCAGGGAGCGATCAGCGAAACGAGAACACAGCACAGCAGGCCTCAGCAGGCGCTGCGACAGTCGTATGTGGGGCACTGCCAGCAAGAGAACACCTGTGTTTGAAAGAGATCAAGGATCTCAGTTCTGTCTGAAAAAATAAGAAACCCCAAGTTAGCAGAAATAAAAGGTCAAGGCAGAAATCAATGAAATAGAAAACAGAGAAACATGCTGAAACCAAAAGCCGGCTCTGAGAGATGTTTGGCAAACCTCTCGTCAGACTGCAGCGAAGAGGAGCAGACGCAGGCACAAGTCTCTCAGTCAGAGGCTGACGGGAAACTCCGACTCAGACAAAATGGACGCTGAAGAGCACAACCACCACAGCCGGCGTGCAGGCCCAGAGAAAAGGGAGCCAAGGCCCACGGCGTCTGAGCAGATCCGCAGCAGCTGGGGGAGCGCCCTGCACCTGGACACGAGTGGGGGCAGGAGCGCAGTGACCACTGACACCAGCAGACACGTCAAGGACAGGCCTGCTCTCTCCAGAGACTCTAGGAAACACAAACCTGCCCGAGACGGCAGCAGAGTGGGGTGGAGGAACCGAGGGGGTCTAGACCCTTCTGGGAGCGATGGAGACAGCAACACTTCTGGTGATGGTAATGGTCCCATGAGGGCGTCACACTGCACACTTAAAACATACTCTGATCACACCTCCGTAAAGCTGACTTAAAAATAAATACATTTTCCTGCTTCACTTTGGAGGCGGGTTCCTGGGTGAGGCCTTTCCCGCCGGAATCACATCTGCACAGGACGCGCCGATGGTCTGCGGGTCAGTTCCCAGCTCCGCGTGGGGGCGGCACCACTGGGCCACAATCTACTCAGACTGTACGAGTCCCAGAAGCTGTGCCGTCCTCCGGAGCTCCCCCCATCCAGGTCCCATCAGGGCCACCTGTGGTGTGTGGTCACCACAGACTTCGGTGCTCAGGCAGCTTTGAGGACAACCCCGCTTGCTGGCCTGACCCCGTTACCCTCCTCTGTGGACCAAGCTTCAGGGTGGGGTCAGACCCACTCCCCTGAAGGTGTGTTGCATCTGTGGACCAATCAATAGAGGCCATTTCCCACTCGACTGCTCCCTCTGCACTTTTCTGTGGCGCTTCCTGTGTGAGCACACACCAGGGGATCACAGATGCCCCTCCCTTCTCCCAGGGGCTGGACCTCATTGCTAGTTCCGAGGTCCCAGTTATCCCACGTTTGGCCAACAGATGCCCCTCCAAGCTTGCTCCTGTGCCCTCTGGACAAGTGCCCACTGGCCCGAGAATTTTCCGAGCCACAGCCTGCTCGACTGCCTCCCCTCCCCTCCACTCTCCTCCCCTCCCCGCCCAGCGCTGGACCCAGCGCCAGGCTCCTGTGGGAAAGGACATGGAGAAGCCATTATCTGGATGCCAGGCTGTCACTCCTTGCAGCCACTGAGCTTTGATTTCCGCGGGGCACGTGCCTCCTTCAGGATGTCGTCAGCCTAAGACCTTGGCTGTTGCAGGTCTTGCTTGAGTCAGCTTGGTGTGTGAAGAAACATCCTGCCCAGCCTGGATGGAGGAGAGGGCTCTGGGAGGAATGACAGCTGAGTCATCATGCCAGGAACATGTGGAAGTCGTCTTCAGCATCCCTCCCTGTCAAACTTTATGTCCTCTGCACATGGGTCTCACGTGGCTTAAGATACATTCCTAGTCACCTGTGGTTCGTATCTGACTGAACTATTTTAAGAATTAAACTTCAGTCCGGCCGGTGTGGTTCAGTGGTTGAGTATCAACTCTTGCACCAAGAGGGTGCCGGTTCAATTCTTGGCCAGGGCACATGCCTGAGTTTTGGGGTCAATTCCCAGTAGGGAGTGTGCAGGAGGCAGTCGATCAATGATCCTCATTGATGTTTCTCTTTCTCTCCCTCTAAAAACCAGTAAGAACACATAAAAAAAAATAATTACATTTCAGTTTCTGGGGCCAACAGCCGTCTGACCAGGACCCTAGGGCTCAGCAGACTGTGGGCTGCATCCACCCAGCAGCTTGCAGGCGGCTGTGCCAAGGTGCTGGGAGCCGCAGCTGCTGCACAGGGCTGGCATCGCTAAGTGGGTCACCATGCACACAGGACTAGGCTTCCTGTCTGCGCCGTGACCACACTTGACCCCGGGAGCCTGAAGGAGCACGAGGCAATGGAGGTGAGCGTCCAGAACTCCACTCAAGGCCTAGAGTCTCTCTAGCGACTGGCCCTGGTAGGTGTTCTGTCCCAGGGGCAGATGGAAGGAGACAGGCACCACAGCTGTGGAGGTCACAGCCCCAGAAGTGCCCCTCCTGCCGGAGCATCAGCCACACGGCGGCCCAGCTCGGGGAAGCCACACCAGCCTGCCTCTTGGGGGAAGAGAGCCACAGCCCCGCCCTACGAGGAGGCCCAGCGGTCAGGTTGCCAGGAGCATGGAGAGTGCCGAGACTGGGTCAAGCAGGCCCACAGCACCTCCTCCCCCTCGGAAGGGGAGCAGAGGCACTCAGACCATCTGCCCGTGTCCCTGTGGCTGCAGGACACCCCCCAGGACCTGCATGCTATGTTGGGCTCCACTTCCAGAACAGCAGCTGGAAGGGGCCTGCCCAGGGAAGCCGTTTTCCTTGGGAAGATGAGAGGACCTTGCCTGTGCTGAGTGAAGCCATGAGGTATGAGAGCAGTGATGGCCCAGCCTCTCTGGGAGGCATGGTCTCCGAGCAGGGTTTTCCACCACCGGCCTCCTCGCTCCAGGCAGTCAGGATGGGGCCAAAGGGGGTGGCTGCCACCACCACTCCATGCTGCTCGCTGGGACCACTGCACTGTGGGTCCACACCCCCAGGCCAGCGGCCCAGCTGTGTGCGGACACTCCTGTGCGCCTCGCTTTCTTCCTGATGTGATGTTCTGCATCGTGTTCCTGCACTGCTTGTTCTCCGGCCCATGAGCAATGTTAGGGCTGAGTCGGCAGCTGTTCAGGCCTGCTCAGCAAGAACTCGGTGTCCTGTCACCATGGAGACCACCTGTCCGAGTGCCCAGCCTACCCAACCAGCTCACTTTGCCAATCAGAGCTGCTTCTCGGGAAGTGCCCTCTTGCAAGCCCCGCATCTTCAGTGTATCACAGGAGACAGTTTTAACTGGGCCCTGGACGGGACCTTCTCCTGGGAGACTGGAAATGGCGTGAACAGGAGGCCAGACGAGGGTGCCGACAGGTGAGGAAGGATTGATTCCTGTTCAGACCCGCTTCACCCACCGGATCCTTCCTGTGGGGGCCAGGCCTCCCACATCACAGGGTTCACGTGTAAGAACCTGAGTTGGTCAGATGTTCTAAGAATACCTCTGCGCCCATCCCAAAGGCCACTGGCTACAGGAAGCAGGGACCCGGCGCTTAACCTTTCCCGGTCGGCCCCAAGGTGCCTGACAGCAGAGGACGCCGTCGAGGAAGGAGAAAAGGGTGCAGCTTGCGTGCTGAGTCCCAGGTCGGAACAGACGATTGCAGCAGCACAAACGGAGCAACTGAGTCTGATCCTGCTCTCGCTGCCCAAACTGCTGCCGCCCACTCACTGCCAAGGCGCTAGGCTGTGGTGGCTGACTGCCCGGTGGGCCCTGCTGTGTAAATAGTGTCGTTTTTTCCAGGTTCTTCTCGGACTTCCCTGTTCAAACTCCTGTTCTATTGGGAGAAGCATTGCCAGAGCATCTGACAGGTTCACACCACACAGACTCTGAAACACAGGCTTCTCGCAGCAGGGGACACGAGCCCATCTTTCTTCTTTTTCTCCTTTCTCTATTTTTAAAAAAATATTTTTATTGATTTAGAAAGAGAGGAATAAAGAAGAGACAGAAACATGGACTGACAACCAAGCCTGCAAACGGATACTGCCCTGACCAGGAAGCGAACCGGCAATCTGGGTGCCACACTGGCCAGGATTCCGTTTTCCACTTTGGACCAGTCTGTCCTAATCATGGACTCCTACCCACTCCCTCCTCTATTCCTCCTCCAGCCCCCTCAACCCCCTGCAAGAAAAAGACCACAATCCTACACATTTAATTTCTGGGGTGTCTCCACAAAGCATAAGTGATGTGTGTAATATTCTGAAAAAGCTAGAAACAGTCCCGCCAGTGCTCCCAGCCTCCTGAGTTCAGACCACGCAGGCACACCCATCTTTAGACGGATCAGGCCTGCTTTAACCTCTAGTCCAAGGGCGGGGGAGGGCACTTCCAGTAGAGAGTAGGGTCAAGAGACAAAGGAAGAGAAGGTGAAGGTGCAGGAAACTTTTATCAAAGCTGCCACAGTTGTTTACCAGGAGACAGATGAATGCAACTCTGTATTCACTGCTAGAAATCAGAGCTGTGAGTGAAATCTTGGATTTGTGGAGAGAAGGGAAGCATGGGCTTATCTGTCCTCGTCCAGACCTCTCCGTGGTCGGGGACCTGAGCGAGCTGCGGTGCATCTTGCTGGACTGGTGCTCGCTCCTCCCCTGCTGTCCCCGCGCAGCACGTGACCCTCTCCCAGGTCAGCAATAAGCGACCTGCAGTGCCATGGGCTGCACACAGAAGGCAGTTAGCAGCAGAGCCCTGCTCTCCAGGCAAGCAATTCTGCTCCCTCTGCCGGCCGCAGGGTGCCGTGGTCAGTGAACTCATGGAACTCGCTCAGAGGAGGTACTCGGCTGGTCTGGATGCAGTCCTCTAGAACACAGGCCTGCTTGTGGCTGGTGTGGCTCAGTGGACAGAACGTCAACCTCAGACTCGAGGGTCCTAGGTTTGATTCTGGTCACAGGGCACATACCTCAGCTGTAGGCTCGATCCCCGGCCCCGGTCAGGGTATGTGCAGGAAGCAACCAACCGACGTCTCTCTCTCAGTCTCTCCCCATCCCATTCCACTCTCTCTACAAATCAATGGAAAAATATCCTCAGGTACGGATTAACAAAAAAATAAAATAAATAAACAGAGTAAAACACAAGTCTTATACCTGGATAGCAGCCACTGCGTGTGCATCTGAAACGGGGACCCGATCTGTGAGGCATAGGGAGTGTGGGACACTGGCCGGTCCCGGAAAGGGCCAGGGGAGCCTGGGAGTCATGGCACTGGCTCCGAGAACAGGGCTCTGGCGGGAAGCAGGGCTGGCCCCAGGCACTGAGCTACATCTAGAGACGTTTCTGATTGCTCCGGCCTGGGTGAGGGTGCTCCTGCATGTGCAGAGGGCAGCCCCACGACAAATGACAGACGGGGTGCCCTAGCTGGGGAGGTCTCAAGAGGTGCTGCTCCTGAACAGCCAACAGGCGTTTGAGTGGTTCTATTCCACCCGAGCACCAGGCTCCTCCCCCGCGGAGGCCATATCCTGAGTCACCTCGTTCTACTCGCCACCTCCTTAAAAGCTGTGCCTGAGAACTTTCTTCTGCTGCGGCCGCTGGGGGGCAAGCACCCTGGCCGGGTCCTCTGCGGCCTCTACCTGGGACGTCAGGGAGGGGGTTTTCACCCGTGTGCCAGCTGAAGGCCTCTGGTCCCATCAACGCAGGACGAGCCGGCGGACATCCCGTGCAGGGCCTGCAGGACCGTGTGCTGCACCAAGTGCTGGCTCCAGCAGCAGCAGCAGCAGCGACCCCGCTGCTGTGGAGAGGTCTCCCCTGCAGGGAAGCTGTGCTGTGGGGGACCCCCGGGCGCGCTCCCCAGAGCTTCCTGAGGCCCTGTGCCCAGGCCCCTTGGGGACAGCAGACAGTCCTCTCTAGGCTGCGGCACCTCCACCATGAAGACTCCCTTATACACCCCACTCCCTCCTGCTCCATCTGCAAAATTACTCTCAGTCCAGAAAGTTCTCAAAGGTAGACTCTGAGGTCAGGAAGGATGCCTCTGACATCGGTACCCGTGGGCCCCCGGGGAGGTTTGGGGACAGAATTGGGGCAGGAATTCAGCTCAAAGGGGTTACAGTAGTTTCACTCAAAAAAGTCTGAAGTCCCCTACGCCGCCGCCCAAGCTTGTGAGCAAAGCATGTGACCAGGTGGCACAGAAGGACCAGCAATGCTGGAAGTCAAAGCCCACGGACCCTGAGCTCAGACCCTGCCCACAGACCAGGGATGCAGTGATGGAGCTGGAAGTCCACATGACAGCATCCACAAGGACGGCCGGCTGGGTCCAGGGTGCGGGCACTTCCCTCCCTTCCCCCAAACAGGCCAGAGCCCTGGTCCGGACGCACGCCACACACCCGGCCTTTAGTGGCACGACCTTACCTCCTCCCTGCATCATTTTGTAGATTTTGCTCTCGATGTGGAGCTGAGGGTGTTTGGTTTTGACACATTCAAGCTTGATGGCAACTTCTTCTCCCGCAACAATGTCCGTACCTTGAAAAGGAAGAAAAGCCAGCGTTAATTATCTGGCGCCCACCACACGGTCAGGACCCAGATGGTCACACTCCACTTCCTGTGGCGAGGTCAGTGGTGCACAAACCCCATGGAAAACGACGCCTTTCCCCTTTTAAGCCAGGGAGTATTTCATGGGAACAGGAAAGTCCAGCCTGGGTTCCCACAGCCCACCTCCAGGGGGTCCCCTCTGATCATGTCACAGGGACCCTTCAAGCTCCCGTCTTCCTGCTCTGAACCTTCCATCGCCCTGTTGGTCAGCCCCAGGCGACTCCACGTGTCCCTGGGACACCTTCCGTGTGGCCCCGCCACCCGCACTGCCGGGACAGGCCTGTGCCTGCGCGTGCACCGTTCTCTAGAGGGAAAACTGGTTTCATCAGACGCCACATGACCCATCCACGCAGCCCAGGGTCCAGCTCACAGCCCTCAGCAGCCAGGCACTTCTCAATGGGCCAGATCCCCGGTGGCAGCGCTCCTCCCTGACCCGGCACAGCCAGAGGGGGAAGGGGAGCTCAGTAAGCCTTGTGCTGCCAGGCAACAGGACAACACTTGTGTTTCTTACTGACACTAGAGTTGTTTCCAAAGCCCTGACTACACCTATGCCACAGGTACCTGTCATGCACCTTAGTTAATTTTGTACTGAAACTGGCAATACAATGTATACCAATACCTCCCATTATCAGCCTATGCGTTTCAAGGTAAATTAAGAATTTTTATCTGCAAATACTTTGTCTTTGTTTTCCTCCAATAATGACCTGCAAACCCGACAGTCTTCACACATCAATGCTCCAGGCTCCAAGCTGACCCCGTGGCTGGAGGACCTTCCTGGAGGCGCTGTAACTGGAGAGCAGGAGTCTCCCTCGCCCAGGTGCCTCCAAGCAGGAAGCCCTGGAGCCTCCCCAGCAGGGCGGCGCTAGTGAACCAGGACTCTCATTAGGGCCCTCAGCCATCACTGGCTCCAGCAGCCCGGAGAGAGCCCAGGACACTTCCTTCCCTGGTGCTCGCCACAGTGTGATCATGAGGGACGGTGGCATGAGCGGGGTAATGGCCACAGAGCACCCTGAGACCCCAGACAAAAGGTGGACAGGGTCAGCAAGCATCACAGCTGTGGCCACCGGCAGGAGAGCCGCCTGCTGAGACTAACATCCAGTAAACGCCCAAACTCCAAGAAGTCTCCTCTCGCCGCTCAATGCTGCCTGGGATGGGCCATGTCTAGTGAGCTGAATCCAGAACCGGTCACAGCGCAGGTTCAGTGGCTGTTCCCCACCCGACCGACCTCTCCCGTGGCCTCCAGCCTAAGCTTCATTCCCCAGGGCTGACAGGCATGCATGTCACTCTGCTGGCCTGCCGTTGGGGCAGTCTATCCAATTACAAGAGAAATGACTTCACCAGCAAACTGACGTTGCAAATGAAAAATGAACTCGAGTTCCTGTGAGGATCTGGAACCCCGGACTGAACTAGCCAGGGCAGGAGGAACGATGACTCATCTTACCAGTGACATCAGCAACTCCACATGCTCATCACTGCCGTCCCAGCCAGCATGCAGCCCTCAATGGAAAAGCAGCTCAGACCTGCACAGACTACCTGCCAGCTAGTGCCTCTGAGAAGGCGCCAGCACTTCCAGCTCTGCTCGCTGGAGCAGGGAAAGCAAACAGAGAAGAGTCACCCTGCAAAGAGTCTGTGGGACACACGACCACAGGCAACTCTGGAACAGAGGATTTCTCTTCCAATATGGTGCCAGGCCTCCGCCAGGATCACACCTGCAACTGAGCCAACCTCCGCCAGGATCACACTTGCAGCAGAGCCAGCCTCCCTCAGGATCACACCTGCAGCAGAGCTGGCCTCTGCCAGGATCACACCTGCAACAGGGCCGGCCTCTGCCAGGATCAGAGACATGAACACCTCCCGAGTGTAGCAACGCAAGGAGAAGGGCTTCACGTGGCTCTCAGCCACACAAACATGAGGGTGCGCACTCCGTGGGCTGCCCCCGGAGGCCTCCCCGACAGGTGGAAATCCTTAGAGAAGAGCTTCAGGTTCTGTGCATTCTGGACCCCGGCGCTCAGGGGCCCTGGGCAGCACCCCCTCTGCAGCTAGGGAGCCCCATGATTCAGGCGAAGCTGGTCAAGCCTCATCCCCCAGACCAGTGCAGGGGGACGGGACGGGACGGGACAGGACAGTGTGGAAGCGCCATGAGCAGGACAACAGGTGACATCGTGGCACCATGTTCATCTCATCCCGTGACCACCTGGAAACTGCAGAGCCGGTGCCTCGCAGCGGGAACTTGTAGACGTGCTTCTGGACGGAAGCAGGAGCTGAAGACAACACTGTGCTCTGGTTCCAGGTGCAGGACCGGAGGCATGCTGGGCTTCCTCTGTCTGTTTATGCTCAGGTGCCTGAGCTCCCAAACCACACCCCTCTCTAGCCCCATCCAGCAAGAGTGGGGCGCTCAGGCGGCAGCGGGACATCTATGTTCAGACACAGGTCAATGCTGGTTTCACGCAAACAAAACTGTCCCTCAAGTTGAGCAGACAAGACAGTTGGTAAATAAGTGGAGCTAACCACAAGCTCAGTCCCATCCTGAGACAGGGAGGAACTCCCACGGAGTGACAGCCAGGAAGTGACAGGGAGAGGCCCAGGAACAGCAGGGCAAAGGTCACCCGCAGGTAACTGTTGACAAGCAGTGGATGCAGTGCCAGGCCTTCTCATCAGAGCCCTCAGCCACCACCCTGGGGACGCAGGCGATGACCTACTGTGTGTTCCACACCTGCTGGATGCCAACAGGAGCGTGAAAATCAGTGAGAAAACATGAAGACATTCCTAAACGTTAACACCCAAGAAGGTGCTTGGACATGCTGTCGAGTGGACAGCACAGTCCGCCCGCGATAACCTGACAGAGCAAGTACCAAAGCCAAAAGCACAAGGAAAACCTCCAATCTGACCCCAGCAATGCGGGCATGCAAGTCGCCGGCACCGCCTGCAGACAGACAGGGAGAACAGCCGTGAGCATGGTTCCCTGCGCCCCAGCCCCCGTGAACATGGCTGGACTTCAGAGCAGCCCCAGTACAGACCACGGCACCACCACACACTCTTCCCAGTGCCCACCGCCACACGGGGTCCATACTGGTCACACTGGCTCTTCTCTAATTCTCCAATGTCAGCAAAAGGTAAGACGCACCTGCCAGCAAAGTGGGAGGGCTTCAGTCACCCCAGCAACCAGGGCTGAGGCCTGTGGAAGCCAAGACCCAGGGAGGCCCAGGAGTCGTGGAGTCGAGTGCTGCACGGGTGTGGGAGCCTCCGGGACCTGGGAAGCGTGGGGAGGAGGCTGAGGATTAAGACCACACATTTTGGAGTCCATGTTGACCCAAGTCCAGTACACAGGTTTTCTGAAGCCCAGGCATTAGGGAAACAGCCCCCAGAGACCACATCCTGTGAACAGGCGACTCCAGGAAGCACCCACTGGCCTGGCTGGGCAGGAGTGGTAGGACCCTTTCTGACACTGAACTTCCTGGTGCATGAGGCCCGCGCCAGCTGAAGGACAGCCTTTTCCTCCTCCCAGTGTCAAAGGTATGGAAGCACAGCAAGTCCCATGGGGACCTCCATGACCCCAAACGCCAGGCTCAGAACAGGGTGAACCTACCTGGTGGGGTCTAGAGCGTTCTGTCAACAGCGAAGTGCTGGCATGAGAATGACAAAGGACACACAAATTCTCAAGATGAGGACTCGGTGCCTTATCAGTGGCTAAACAAACAGAACAAAACTTGGGTCCGGATGACTCAGTCCGTCCTATGCTCTTTGGACCTCATCTTTGACCCTTAACTACAGTGTGGGGTGAGCACCCTCAGACCCACCTTCCGCCACAGGCTCTCTAGCTAAGGACCTCTCTGCACACTCCCCTGGGTACCACGCAGCCCCGGGCAGGGCAGGTGGGAAAAGCCCGGCTGTGCTCAGCCCCACACGAGTGACTCCAGTGAACCCCAATGGGCGTGTGGCTCTCTGAAGGAGGCAGGAGTGCCACAGGCCACCCACCCATGTCAGATATGCGAGACCAGTCAGCCCAGCAGGAGGTGAGGCCCACAGGGGGAGTGGTGACAGGCAGACGGGGTCCCTCAGAGCTCCCACCCCGAGGAGAAGGGTGTGGTGACAACTCCCACCTCGGACCCCCAGAGCTGCCCGGCAGTCTCAGTCCAGGGGAGAGGCTTTAAATAAAACATTTGCTCCCGATGTCCGCAGAGGAGCAGCTCACGGACTGGCTTCTCCATCCAGCTCCTGGGTCCCAGGCTGAGTATTGCCAAAACCCCTCTGCTCTATAAATAAGGCAAACAGCTTGCATTCACGCAGCACTTGGCCTCCCAAAACGCTGCTGAGCGCGCAGCCGGCTGACGACGGGGCATAAATATTTAAACAGTAAAATCCAAATGTCTCCAAAGTGTATTTGACTCCGCAGGACAGTGGGAGGAAAAAGAGGTTCAAAGGCGACGATGCAGCGCGTGGCAGGTTCCCTGCAGCGGAAGGAGGGCGCCCAGAGCGGGTGTGAGCCTCCCGCGGGGGCACCAGGGCTGCGGCCCCGCCGGGGACGGGAGGGGGCGGGAGCGCCTCCGGAAGCGGGGCTGATGCCCAGGCCGCCGCCGGACCCTCCCTGACAGGTCCGCCAGCCCAGCACCCGCAGGAAGAGTTCGTTTACCCCAAACTTGCGCAACAGCGGCTCCTCCGCGCCCACGCCGCGGGCCAGGGGCCGGCCCCAGCGGGGCCGGAGGAGCCGGACGCAGGACGTCCGCCGTGGATGCCCAGTTGCGGGGGCCAGGCCAGCCGCCCCTCACCCCTGTGCGCGTTCCCTCCCGGGCGCGGGACACGGGCCGGAACGTCCCGCCCCAAACAGTTTTCGGACCCGCCCGAACCACCCAACAGCCGGGGCCGAGCTCGCGAGGGCAGCGCGGCCGCCGCGCCCGCCGCCCGCCGCCGCCGCGGCCAACGTCCGGACACGGCCGGCCTGCGGCCCCCGGCGCGGAGCTGGGTGCGCAACACGTCCCCGCCGCCGGCCCGGCCCGGCCCAGGCCGGCCCGGCGCGAAGGGCAGCGGGGCCCCGGCTCCGGCCACCGCCCCCCGCACGTGCCGGGCCGCGGGCCGCGCTCCGCCGCCGCCTTTGTCCGCCTGCGGGGCCAGGGGGTCCCGGGCCGCCCGGCAGCCCGGCACGTTGGGCAGGTGCCCCGGGGCGGCGGCGCGGGCCGGCGCCGAAGGCCCCTGATCCTGCCTGGGCGGGGCGGGGTCCCGGGGACAGAGGCGGGGGGCGGGGGTCCCCGGGGCGGGGGTGGGGGGTCGGGACCGGGTCCTCGCGGCCGGGCCGGAGGGGCCGAGCGGACGCCGGCCGGGGCGGCCCCGGACCAGGGACGGGCGCCTCACCGAGATAGATGTCTCCGAAAGAGCCGCTGCCGATCTTCCGGCCCAGCCGGTACCTGTTCCCGACTCGGAGCTCCATGGCGGCGGCGGCGGCGGGCCCGACTCCCTCCTGCCCTCCCGGCCGCTTCCTGGGTCTGAGCTTGGGGAGGCGGCGCCGCCGCTGCCGCTACTGCGGGTCCGGCTGCCGGCTCCGCCCCCCTCACGGCCCCGCTTTCACCATCGCTTTCCAGCCGCCCAGCCGCTCCCAGAGCCACAATATGGGGCGGATGGGACAGTCCGAGCGCCGCTCCCCCTGCTCCGGCTCCTGCCGACCACGCTTGCCCTCTCCCCGCCACGGATGGACTCGGATCTTCCGGGCCTAAATTCCCCCTCAGCTGCCTGAAGGAGCCGCCGCCATCGCGCTGTGACGTCACTTCCCCTAGCAACCTGGGGGCGGGGACTCGCTGCCAGAGGGGCGGGGCCACGCTGGCTGAGGGGCGGGGCCGGGCGGAGCGGGGCTGCGAGCGGCGGAGAGGGGCGAGCACGCTCGGGGCGTCCTCGCGCGACCCGGGTACCCCGAGTCAGCCCCCTCCTCCCTCCGCCCCTCGCCCCCTGCCCCCCGCAGCAGCCCCGAGCCGGCCCCTACCCGATTGCAGGCTCTGCGTCTGCCTGCGCGGGTGTCTCGGAACCCGCGGCCTTTGTGGACCGCCCTGGGATGGACCTGCAGGCGGTGCCCTTCACCGGAGGGTGATGGGGTGGGGGGGGGGGCGGAACCCGCCTCTCTAGGCTCCCGGGCCGCGCCCTCGGACTCTGCACGGGGAGGGCCTGGCACCCGGGACCAGCGGCCGGGGAGATGGCACGGGCCAGGCTGCGGGGGACGCAGGTGTGCACTCGGGCCTTGGGGTGCACACAGACCAGAAGGGCGCTCCCCGGGGCCGTTCCATCCTCTTCTCGTCTGAACGCGTCCGGAACAGCGTTTTGGTGTTTATCACGTGTAATCACGTCAGGACAGGCCCGAGGGGAAACAAGCCAGACCTCCATAACGGCCGGTCCACGCGGTGGAATATTGCTCAGCCGTGCAGAGGGGGGAGGCATGGAGGCTACAACCTGGATGACCCTTGGAAACGTTACAGAAGCCAGACCGCCCAGGGCCACCCCTTGTGGACTGCGCGTTTGGAGCGCCCAGAACAGGCCCGTCCAGAGACAGACGCAGAAGAGGGGCCGCGGAGGAGGCTCCTGTTCTGGGACAAACACATCCAGAGCAGGGAGAGGTGACCGCTGGCAGCATCGTGCATGTACAAAGGCACTGCATCGTACACTTTAAAATGGTTGCTGTGGCCCGGCCAGCGTGGCTCAGTGACTGAGCACTGATTTATGAACCAGAAGGTCACAGTTCAATTCCCAGTCAGGTCACATGCCCAGGTTTCGAGCTTGATCCCCAGTATGGGTCGTGCAAGAGGAAGCCAATCAAGGATTCTAACTCATCACTGATGTTTCTAGGTCTGTCTCCCTTCCTCTCTGAAATCAATAAAAATATATTTTTTATTTATTTATTTATTTATTTTTTTTTTTACTAGGCAAAGATCTTTATTAACCTGTTTCAAACTTTATTCCCAAGCTTCTTCAGCTTAATTAGCTGCAAAAAATGATTTATGTATAAGCAAAAACTGAAAAGAGCTGCAATGTCCAGGGGCATTGGGCTAAAAAATATTAGAGATCTAGATTTTATCAGATCCATAAACAAAATTTGAAAAAGCAGTCATAATATAAAATAGCAGCTCCCAGAAACTTCTTCAAGTTTATTTTCTTCAGAAGTTGACTCAATTCAGTTTGCTTCATTCTTGGAAGCCTCATCAAAATTCTCCACAAGATCTGGAACTTCATCATCATCATCTTCTCCAGTAGCAAGTGGCGCTTTTCCATCCACAGATTGTTTGGGCAGAGCTTCAGCCAGTCTCCTTAAACTAGTCAGACTGTCTGCACCAAGCTGGTTTAAGATGCTGGGTAGCATTTCTGTCAGTTGCTTTGTCTCAGCATGGCCGGTAATGGTGAAAGTATTCGCTGCCAGAGATGCCTGAACTTTAGGGTTGTTAAAGTGGATCACTGTTCCTTGGTTTGTAAACATATTTACCTCTTCAATACCAGAGATATTGTTTACCCCCAACTTCTTTAAGGAGAACTGAAGCTTTTTATCATCTGCTGTAGCTGTTCTGTGAACCACCTTCTTCTTTCTACGAGCAGTTCCTTTCCCACCAATGCGCACTTGTGCCTGCAGTTTGGCGAGTTTCTCTTGGTTCATAATAGTTTCTTTCATCTTGTTGGAGAGGAAACGGGGCCGCGCGGGGGACTAGGGCTGACGCTCAGGGGGTCTAGGGCAGACCAGCTGAGAATAAGCGCGCACACGCGGGGACGCAAGATGGCAGCTCAAAAATATATTTTTTAAAAATAAAGTGGTGAATATGGTGAATTTTATGTTATGGGAATTTTACTTTCATTAAAAAAAACAAACAAACAAAAAAAAAACATGCATCACCCTGGCCGGTTGCTCAGTGGTTAGAGCAAAGGGTTGAGGGTTCCATTCCCGGTCAAGAGCACATATCTCAGTTGCAGGTTTGATCCCAGGCGCTGGCTGGGGTGCATGCAGGAGGCAACCAACCAATGTGTCTCTCTCATGTGGATGTTTCCCTCACCCCCTCTCCCTCCCTCTCTCCTTTCTCTAAAAAAAAATAAAATAAAATAAATGGATGCCCGTGATAGGCAAACTGCAGCTCTCGAGCCACATGTGGCTCTTTGGCCCCCTTGAGTGTGGCTCTTCCACAAAATACCACGACCTGGTGAGTCTATTCTGAAGAAGTGGCGTTAGAAGAAGTTTAAGTTTTAAATATGTATTTTATTGATTTTTTACAGAGAGGAAGAGAGAGGGATAGAGAGTCAGAAACATCGATGAGAGAGAGACATCGACCAGCTGCCTCCTGCACACCCCCCATTGGGGATGTGCCCGCAACCAAGGTACATGCCCTTGACCGGAATCGAACCCGGGACCTTTCAGTCCGCAGGCTGACACTCTATCCACTGAGCCAAATGGTTTTGGCTCCTTTTTTTTTTTTTTTTAATATGTATTTTATTGATTTTTTACCGAGAGGAGAAGTTTAAGTTTTAAAATGTGGCTCTCAAAAGAAATTTCAATCGTTGCACTGTTGACATTTGGCTCTGTGGACTCATGAGTGTGCCGACCGCTGCCCCAGTGCTTTCATGCCTGCGCGGGCGGCCCCCTCCTGGGTCAGGTGTCTGTCCACTGCCCCCGCTCAGCTATTCCCTGTCTCCCTCCTCAGCCAAGGACCGTGGTTTGGCACTCGTTATGTGCCTGAGGGACAGCTGCATCGGAACAGAACTGGAGGGACCACCATCTTTCCTTAATCCTCACCTGAGGATGTGTTTTTACTGATGTGAGAGAGGAAGAGAAACGTCGATTGGTTGCTTTCCACACCCACCCCAACTGGGGTTCAAACCTGCAGCCTACGATTGTGCCCTGACTGGGAGTCAAATCTGCAACCTCTGGTGTCGGAACAACTCTGCCACCCACTGAGTGCCCAGCCAGGGGGGCACCAACACCTTCACTGAGAGGCAGCAGCGGGAGGCCAGGCTCAGGAGCCCCGAGCCCAATACTGCATCCCTGCTCTGCCAGCAGCTGTGCAGCCTTGGGCAGCTAATCCAACCTCTCCGTGCCTCTGTCTTCTCATCTGTAAAACGGGGACAAGAGCACCAAACCCCTCAGGCTGTGCAGAAGGTTCACGGGGGTTACCACAGGCACAACTCAGGGCAGGGTCTGAAAGCGAGTCATGGCCGTGTAAATATTAGCTGTTTACACAACCACTGTTCACTCGAGACACAAATCGCCACATAGCAGCCGAGGTGACATTTGCCAGCAGGCAGTCGATGGTGCCCGGCTGGACAGTCCCCTCCTGCTCAGATCCACGGAGCGAATGGACGGCGCTCACCCCTCCCTCTTGGGCCGGTGTCTGCGTGCCGAGGGGCAGGCCAGCACTGGTAGCCCGTGTAATTAACAGGCAGCGCCGCCACGTCCTTGTGGGGGGAGTTGGGATGGACAGGCCAGCCGTCACCAACAGGGCCTGTGGAGGAGAGACAAGCTCCACACAGCACCGCGGGGCTCGGGGCTGCAGCTCCAGGGGAGAGGGGCCCAGGATCTGAAGGGGGAGAAATGACCTCAGTCCTGGGAGGGGGCCATCAGGGAGAGCCCGTGGTGGGGTCTCCCAGGGGGAGAGCCTGTGTGCTTATTTTTTGTTTGTTTTTTAAAATACTTTTTATTTATTTTTTACAGAGAGGAAGGGAGAGGGAGAGAGAGTTAGAAACATCAATGAGAGAGAAACATCGATCAGCCGCCTCCTGCACGCTTTCTACTGGGGATGTGCTTGCAACCAAGGTATATGCCCTTGACCAGAATCGAACCCAAGATCCTTCAGTCCGAAGACCGATGCTCTATCCACTGAGACAAACTGGTTTCAGCTGTGCTTGTTTTTTAAAATTAATTAATTAATTAATTAATGTTTTATTGGTTTCAGAGAGGAAGGGAAGCGGGAAAAAGAGATAGAAACATCAATGAGAATCATTGATTGGCTTCTGGGGATTGAGCCCACAACCGGGCATGTGCCCTGACGGAAAATCAATCCCAGGACCCATCAGTCCACAAGCCAATACTCTAGCCACTGAGCCAAACCCTCTAGGGCCATGTATGTGTTCATGTGAGTGTTCGGTGTGTGTCCTACACAGCCAGCGCCTGGCCCTTGCGGGTGGAACACTCTGGAACATGCTGATATCCCCCTCCTCCCCCGCTCAGGCTCTGCCTGGACAGAGGCAGCAGGGAGGGGGGGAGGGACGGAGCCCGAAGGGCAAGCAGCCTTCAGGTTCCGGCGCTCAGAGCCAACCCAGTGACTCATGGAGCAGAGGTGAGCACCCAAGCACAGCAGAGGGAAATGGAAGTGAGTTCATGTCTGTGAGCAGCCGTGGGCCAGGCGTGGGCGAGGCCAGGCTGAGCCCGCTGTGGGCCAGGGTCAGGGTAAGGGTCAGGGTCAGGCTGGGACCTAGCACCAACAAGCCTTTGCTCTGGAGGCAGCCAGCAGCCACACGGCTACTTAAATTAATTAAACAAGAAAAAGTAAAAACCCAGCCCCTCTGCCGCCTCACTAGCCACCGGGACGGGACGGCGCAGCAGAGCATTTCCATCTTCCCAGAAAGCTCTCTGCGGCCCCTGGAGAGCAGGGGTCTTGGCTGAGGGGGATCCTGGGGGGGCATCTGGCCGTGTCCCATTATCACACCCTCCACATCGAAGGTGGAGATCAGGGGTGATTCTCGATGCCCTACGGAGCACAGGGCGGCCCCAAGATGGCCCAGAGCACCCAGAACCTTAAAGGCTGCTCTTCCTGGCTCCCACGGGGCTCTGTCCATATTGGCTCATGTAACAGCTGCACCACCTTCTATAAGATGCCAGTGAGACCCTGGGAGTGGGGTGTGGTTGATGATAATCCATCTATAATAATAAAAACGTAATAATTAGACTGGACAAAGCCGTGGCTGCAGAGCCTAGGCAGAGTGGTTAGGGACTTCAGGCAGGCAGGCAGGCAGGCAGGCAGGCAGAGGTGATTAGGGGGAATCAGGCAGGCAGGCAGGTGAGCGGTTAGGAGCCAGCGGTCCCGGATTGTGAGAGGGCTGGTGGGGGGAACATCCCCCGAGGGGTCCTGAATTGCAAGAGGGTGCAGGCCAGGCAGAGGGGACCCCCACTCCCTTCCCCTGCCCCCTGCAGTATTTCCAGCACCGGGCCTCTAGTGTATTATGAAGGGTAACAAATGCACCACACTCTGTAAGGTGGCAGGGAGAACCTGGGGCCGAGGGTTTATAGGAACTCTGCGTACTGTCTTTCAACCTTTCTGGACATCCAAACATCTAAAACTGTTCTAAAGAAGTTTGTTTGAAAAGTTTTAAAGAGTTTATTCTGTTGTAGACTCCTGGTTGTTACCATAGCAAGGAAAGGTCTCCATTGCCCACTTGGAAGTCATTTTAACGAGGCTTTAAATCTGTCATCCCTTAGGACGGAAAGAATCCGTGCACACAAAACCCGTCTGAAGGGCTGCCTGTGGGGCAGGGAAGCGGATGGGGGATGAATGAGTAAAATATAAATAGATGAAATGAGAGAGGGCCTGACACCTGTGAATCACCATCAGGTTCCAGGGCCTGAGGCGTGTGATGCCGACCTGACCCTGAGAGAGAAGGAACCGGCTGGGACATGCGCAGCTGGCAGGCATGCTTCCCGAATTTCCGGTGAGCTTCTCTGTTAAAGGGGCTGGGCAGGCTGAAACTGATTTGGCTCAATGGATAGAGCATCAGCTTGGGGACTGAAAGGCCCTGGGTTCGATTCCGGTCAGGGGCATGTACCTTGGTTGCGGGCATATCCCCAGTAGGGGGTGTGCAAGAGGCAACTGATCGATGACTCTCTCTCATCGATGTTTCTAACTATCTCTCTCCCTTCCTCTCTGTACAAAATCAATAAAAATATATTTAAAAATAAAAAGGGGGGGTTGGGCAGGAGGCAGTGGCCACAGTCCTCCCACCCCCACCCCTTCCCCCAGCCTGGCCTCCGGGTCAAAGGAAGGAAGCCAGGGTTAGCAGGGTAGGGGAGCAGAGCAGCCAGACCAGCATTGCCCTGTGAAAACAGCAGCGTGGACAGGTGGCGATTTAAGAAACACCCAAACAGAACTGTTTTAAACACACAGAGGCCGAGGAAGCACAGAAAGAGGGGTGACATGGGGGAAATGTCCTCATACAAGGTCTTTGGGGCCTGTTAGGCCTAAAATCGCTCTCATTACCTGCCCTGTCCCAGCCTTGTACCCAGAGCCCTGAACACTCCCCATAGGGCGGTGCCAGCTCCCTTGACTGACGGCTTTTTAAAAAATATATATATTTATTTATTTGTAATATATTTTACTGATTTTTTAGAGAAGAAGGGAGAGGGAGAGTTAGAAACATCGATGAAAGAGAAACATTGATCAGCCGCCTCCTGCACACCCCCTGCTGGGGATGTGCCGGCCACCAAGGTGTGTGCCCTTGACCAGACTCAAACCCGGGACCCTTCAGTCCACAGACCGACGCTCTATCCAGTGAGCCACACAGGCCAGGGCTCGACTGCCTGCTTTGTTGGCATTCCATTTTCTTGGAAATCTAGCGGCGGAAAGGGTGAGTGCGAGTATGTCTTACCCTTGGGCATCCTGGGCTCCAGTCAGAGCCAGCTAACCCTCCCGGGGT